AAAAACAAAAAAGCAGGAAAAAATTTATATAAAAGATTAGTCTTAGAAACCCTATGAGGTAGTTCTACTTTGTCCTATAGAGTTGTTAAGAGTCAGAATTGACTTGATAGCAATGGGTATTACTGAAGATCTTCTATGCTTCTCAAACTAAAGGGATATACTTAAGTAATCCCTGTAACATTAGGGTCTTTAAGCACCATTTTATAGATGAAGAAACTAGCTTAGGGAGGAAAAGCTACTTGTTCAAAGTTACACCAAGAATTACTGGCACATTGTAACACAGAATGCTCAAAAGAAACTGAACTGAGGTTCTGAAGTTTCAGTTTATTGTCGGCCATTGTGGAGTCTGTCTTTCAAGGAAAATTTGGAGCAAATATTTGTAGCAAATAGGAACTATGGGGGTAAATTTATTAAACCCATTGAATCTATGATTCGTTGGCTTTTTTCCTGTCATTTAAAAAGACTAAGCTAAATAATGTACACTGCATTGAAACAGATGAGGGAGAGAACTGCTTAGAAGGAATGTATGTTTAGATATTATTTGCATGACAAGAGTCCAGAATAAGAGCTGCATAGTAAAGTGGTCTGGGGGTGGGGTGGAGGGATTATATAACACTGAAAGAATTTCTTTTCCAAAGTGAAAAGTAAACTGGGGGGAGAGGGTTGTGGAAAATGTGTAACAATGAATGAATGGAAATCCAAGTTCTCCATAAATTTTCATTAAAATCTCAATTAAAAAAAGAAAACAAAGATGGAGAGGGGATTGGAACTGTCAAAAAAAAAAGACTAAGCTGAGTACAGATGAGGGGAAAGAGTGTCAAAATAATTTTACAGTTTTAAAATCTCACAATTAAACATCAAGTGGTAAAAAAAAATTACTGGTACAAACAACAGTGGAGTAGAACACGAAGGCTAAAGGAAAAGTAGATCACAAGGGATTCTAGGAGCCCTTCAAAATCAACACCATTTCAAAAATAACATAGTAGAGGCAGAAGGTGACATTGAAGGACTAAATCAGGGCCAGAGCTAAAAGAAAAGCAGATCACAAGGGATTCTAGGAGCCCTTCAAAATCAACACCATTTCAAAAATGACAAAGTAGAGGCAGAAGGTGACACTGAAGGTCTAAGTCGGGGCCAGAACGAAGAGACAAGTCTTTTAGCTTTAAGCTCCTAGAAGGCGGCACTTTTCCTAGGAAGGTATCAGAGACACAAAAGGAGTAAGAGGTCACACTTGTGGCTTCTTCCAAATACTAGCATTAGACCTCACAATTAACTCTTTGTTAGATCAGATTTCAAGTCAATGAATGGAACTCAAATATTTAGCTTAGACTCAACATTATTAGAGTATAAAGGAATGATTTTTAACAGATGTGATAATGGAACTTTGTTACCAATTACTATTAAAAAGAAAAAAGGTCCTGATCTATTGGAGAAACATAGAAACATTTAATTTACAAATTAAATTAATGAGTCAACATTTTTTCTTTAAAATACTGTTTAAGAGGAGTGAAAAAGAATGGACAGGGTAAAAAGCTGATGACTATGGAAGCTGAATGAGGGTTCAAAATTTGTTCTACTTTGGAGTTTGTTTTTGTTGTCGTTCTGTACCAGAGTCAGAATCAACCAATAGCTAACCCTCCAGTGGGTTTGCAGAGGCAGTTAATTGCACCTGGTGGCCTTTGGGATTGCAACGCAACCTCTTGCCATTAGGCCACCAGAGCTCCCTAATTTTGAGGAACTTTAAAAAAAAAATCTATTACAAAGAAATTTGTAAATCTAGTTTGGTGGCCTCCTCCTCCCCACTATCACTACAAAGATGGAGAAATAAAGACCCAGAGTGTCCCAGAGAAAAATTCAGGTATAAATCTAAGTGTTCCATATATCAAAATGAAGAAAGAGTGCTGTGGTTAAGAGCATGGGCCTCAACTAATCTAATCAAAATCTGAATTCCAACGCCAACACTTACTAGCTATTTGACACTCTCCCATCTGTGACAAAAGTAAAAATATTGTTGTTAGGTGTTGCTGAGTCAAGTAAGATTCATAGCAACCCTATAAATAACAGATCTGAACCCTGTCCTATCCTGTGCCATCTATATCATCTGACATACTTGAGCCCATTGTTTCTGTTATGTCAATTCATTTCGTTGAGGGTCTCTCTTTTCTTCACTGACCTTTCCCAGCATGATGTCCTTTCCAATGAATAGCTTCTCCTAGTAACATCCACAAAGTATGTGAGACAAACTTTGCCTTCCTTGTCTCCATGAAGCACTCTGGCTGCATTTTTCCCAAGACATACTGGTTTGTTCTTTCTGGCAGTCCATAGGATGAATATTCAGTACCCTTCTCCAACACAACTCAACTCAAAGGCATCAATCAAGTCTTCAAATGGACATCATAGCTCCTCAGTTATCTGGAGAGGTCTGTGACAGCAGACAATGCAATACGTCTCCTGATCACCTAACTGCTGCCACCAAGAGATGCAAGTAAGACTGTGGATACAAGTAAGATGAGATCATTGACAATTTCACTCTTTTCTCCTTCTATCATGATGTTATTTATTATCCAGTGGTGAGGATTTTCATTTTCTTGCTGTTAAAATGCAATCCACATTGAAGGCTGTAGTCCTTGATATTCTGAGGCAACCATTTCAAGTCTTCCTCACTTTCAACAAGCAAGGTTGTGTTATCTGCCTAATGCAGGTTACTGATGAGTCTTCCTCTTATCCTGATACCATATTCCTCTTCATAGAGTCCAGCCTCTCGAATGATTTGTTCAGCATACAGACTGAAAAGGTATGGAGGAAGGACACAACCCTGACACACACCTTTCCTGACTTTAAACCATGCAGTTTTCTCTTGATCCATTCAGACAAAAGTTTCCTGGACTAGGTATAGGTTTCACATAAGCATAATAAAGTGTTCTAGGATTTCCATTCTTCTCAATACTAGCTATACTGTGTTATGATCCAGAGTCAAATGCTTTTGCATAGTCAATAAAACGTATACAGATATTCTTCTGGTAGTCTCTGCTTCCAGCCAGGATCCATGTGACATCAGTAATGATATCCCTGGTACCGTAACCTCTTCTAAACCCAGTCTGAAATTCTGGCATTCCTGTCAATGTATATTTTTCTTTATCACTATCATTGCTTTTATCATTACTTTCACTTCACTACATTGCTTATGACTGAAAGCTAAAGATCAGAAACTGTATTTTAAAACTCAACTCAAATTCATTGCCATTGAGTCCAAACCACCACATAGCTGACCCTCTAGCCAGTTTCCATGGCTATAAATCACAAGAGAAGATTGCTCCTTTTTCTCCAGCAGACACACTGGTGGATTTGAACCCTGAGACATGTGACCATGGATTCCACCACCAGAATGCCTACTAAATTCTGTTATTAGGTGCCTTCAAGTATGTTTCATAGCAATCCTATAAACAACAGATCTGAACCCTCTATCCTCTGCCATCCTTATCATCTTTGACATAGTCAAACTCATTGCTGCCATAACTTCAATCCACCTTGTTGAGGGTCTTCCTCTATTTTGACCTAAGCATGATGTCCTTTCCCAAGGAATAGCCATTCCTAACAACATGCCCCAAGTACGTGAAATGAAGCTTCACCACTTCAGAAGATCTACTTTCAAATAAAAAAAAAATCAGGAACTGAACGTTATTACAAAGCACAGCTCAACGCTGACATACATGGAGCTGAAAAGACTTGATTACAGCTGGTGAGAAGACAAATTAACTATGCCCAACCCCATCTCAGAGATTACTCCATAGCTCAAGGGCAGCCCTAAGTCCTTGAGGGCTGAGGCAGACTCACCAACTGCCCGGAACAGACAGGCACCATCCTCCTTCATCTGTTTGATGATGAAGCCCTTCTTGTCTCGTAGTGCCTTTTCAAACCAGTGCTCCTGCTGGAGAAAAAAGAGGGAAAGATTAGAAACAAGAAAGGCTTGTATTTTCCCCTAGGAGGCTGCCTGCCCTTAAGACCTAGCTGACTGACAGGGCGGGGTAAAGTTCTCAGTCCTGTTTGACCACACCTTGCCTATAGGAAGAAATCTTACTTAAGGGAATCAAGCTCTGAAGGAACATAATGCTTGCTTTTATAGAGAACTCCAGCCCAGCTGCCCGAAGAGCAGATGCTATATCTGCAACCACATTCCTTTAGGCAGCCAGAGGCCCAAACAGGCAAACACCTGAGTTAAGAATTTGGTTCTACCTTAGGGAGCTTCACTTCAGTACTCTACCTACTTGGAATGAGGGAAATATTGAGGAGGACTTGTTAAAAGCTTACATCCTTGCAACAATGAATGAATGAAAACCCAAAATCTCTGTAAATATTCATGAAAATTAATAAAATTTAATAATAAAAAAAAACACCAAAAAACCCCTTACATCCTGATCCTCACATACAGCAAAGGAATTCTGATATATAAATAAAAAATATACAAAGTATGACTCTGTTAAGAATATTTTAACAGATTTATGGGTATAGTTACACACATCTATACAAAACTGACAAGGCTTTACAACAAAAATACTATCCCTAACCTCTGGTGACAAGTGATTTTATTCCACTTCCATCTTTAAAATGTATATAATCCCTCACTCAAAATTACCAAAAGCTCTGAAACTAAGTGACTTTACTTAACCATTCTGGAATCAAACTTTACCTAAACTGATCTATTTCATAGGAGAGCGGACAATCAAACTTTAGAGAGCTCTGAGGGTCTAGTGGGTAAGGCCACTGCCAACACAAAGGCAAGTGATTCAAACCCAGCTGCTCTGAAACCTACTGGGGAGTCAATTTTAAGTTGGTTCCAACTTGATGGCACATAACAAGTCAAACAGTTTGGTGCAGAATTATTCAAGTGTTTATGAGTAGTTGTCTCAGACTCCAATAGAAGCATTACATAACACACAGTACACATGCCAGTCAACTTTTGTAAATTCTGAAATGGTTCTAAATTCCAAAACGTACTTGGTTCCTAAAGTTTGAGTCAAATGAACCTGTGCAAATATCTATTTTTCAGATGTCTTTAAAAAATTACTTGAAATTACATTTCATCTGAAATGTAGCTTCCATTTCGAAATAAAATATGCATGATTGATTCAAAAAACAAAAACCAGGAAGCAGTAAACCATTCTCAGCCACTTATGCCCACTAGAAGCAGCCAGGCTGATCTTGAATTATGGCTGGGGACTACAAAATCCCAAACCCACTCCTTGAGGTAGAACCATCAAGTATGGAAACACAAGGGAGGAGGAACAGCTGTAAGCAGACCCTAGTGATTGGTACATGGAATGTGAGAGCCATGAATGAAGGAAAATTAGAAATTGTTAAGAAAGAAATGGAACGCATAAATATTGAC